GTGGACAATTCAGTAGTGGACAATTCACTATTGTGAAGCCCAATAGATATGCCTTCACAAGACCAGCATAGAGTGCATTAAATAAATATAAATTTTATTAAAAACACCCACATTTCAGCGTTATCAGGAATGATATAATAAAACAGCTTTTCAAATAACCTGCATTCATTACATTACAATACTTACAGTATTTATAACTATTCTCAGATTTTTATGGACAAAAATCAAGGAAACCTTTGAAAAATGAGGGCAAGTAAAGTTTTTTTAAAAAAACACGCAACCCAAACAGTAGAACATAAGCTTAGAAAATGCACACATTTTTCAAAAAGTTCATTATCTTAGTGTCAAACTGTTAAAGTTTCCTACACAAAAGTTAACCACTAGCTTTAAAAGTGAACTTGAACGCCGCTGTGCGCCAATCAAGATGAAAGAAAAAAATCATTCAAGTAAAGTTGACACCACTCAGAAGCATCTTCAAGTATGGCTATAGTCAACCTGATAATCCTATACAAGAAATTTCTCATGTCTGGTTTCCCTCACTCAATTCATTGTGAGGCAGGGTTATGTACATCAAAATCTTATTTACAAGACATCTTCCTCCCTCCTCATCCCAACTAAGCTTTCATCTGTTTGCAAACTATTTGGCAGTTGACAGTAGGTTGAATACAAAGACGCCATTCCGCCTGCAGGAGTGCACTCCTACTCGGAGAAGGGCAAAACATGGGCTAGAGAGCTGTGTGAGAAAAATGGACCTAAACCCAAACATAGTCCTTCACTCCTGCAACGTCCTGCCCAAGTGGAAGCCCTTGAAGCTGCTCTAGAACCTATCAATCATGCACAACTCACAAAAGTAACTTTTTGGACTGTCTTTCCCAGCATTCCCCTAATGGATGATTCTATGCATAAACCCAATAGTTACTTTCCTAAGTTTACATTAGTTGTATAACCTCTCTTGCACAAATATGTGATGGGACAAATTTCCTATTTATTTCAGAGCTCTTTTGGAATCTATGGGCCCTTCCACATAGCCCTATATTCCAGAATATCAAGGCAGAAAATCCCACAATATCTGCTTTGAATTGGGTTATCTGAGTCCACACTCAGATAATTTGGGATTTTCTGAGTCCACACTCAGATAATGTGGGATTTTCCTTGATATTCTGGGATACAGGGCTGTGTTGAAGGGCCCTAACTCCAATTTGTGAAAACAAACAGCCCTCTTTTAAGCCAAGCAAGAAACAACCGATGTGAAGACTGGAATATAAAAGGAAATATTTGTTCTGGCTTAATGAATCCAACACATTAAGTGCCCCGAATCCAGCTGTGCCATCATGCCTGTGGAGCTCTGTGCAAGCAAAGGCTGCCTAATTCTGCTCCAAGGCCAGGAAGTATTTTATGCCCGTGAAGCCTTCCTAAAAACATGACAATCAGAAGGACTCTTACTTTTATCAGAGGCACTGATGGTATCTGCAATTCAATTTGGAAAAAAACGAAAGCTTCTGTTTTCATACAACACATTTGAAGAGCATGTATTTAGTGTTGGGGGCAGCTCCGGAAGCAATCTTGTATGAAACTGACTGATCAACAACATCAGCGATATCAAAAGATATTTGATTAAACAGAATTGTTATTGGGTTAGACTATTTTTGAAACAAGACCAAATTAAGGCATTGGACCTGTAAAGGTTGGGGTTTTTAATTAATACTGTGGGGGAATTTAATGTATACAATGAAAAAGAAATACAAGTGATTTCAGGGTAAGGGTTACGATATATTGCACAGGTATAAGGTTTGCAAGGGCCCCTTGGTGGCGCAGTGGGTTAAACCGCTGAGCTGCTGAACATGCTGACCGAAAGGTTGGTGGTTCAAATCTGGGGAGTGGGGTGACCTGCTGTTGTTAGCCTCAGCTCCTGCCAACCTAGCAGTTCGTAAACATGCAGTTGTGAGTACATCAATAGGTACTGCTCCAGCAGGAAGGTAATGGCACTCCATGCAGTCATGCCAGACACATGACCTTGGAGGTGTCTATAGACAACGCTGGCTCTTCGGCTTAGAAATGGAGATGAGCACCACCCCCCACAGTTGGACACAACTAGACTTAATGTCAGGGGAAACTTTTACCTGTACTAGAAGGTTTGCATTTTTGTAATTTTTTGAAAAAATAAGGGAGCACTCTGAAGAGGAGCCTTACTGAGTCAGATCAACCATCTATCTTATTTTATACTGAGATCAACCAAATCTATGATTTTGACTAACACCATAATGAATCTGCTTGCTGTTTTATTTCATTGACTTTCAGTCTCCTCTAAAGGCATGTTTAAAGGGAACACACAAAGGAAAGAACTGCACACAGCTCTCTAGCAAATAAGTCAATTGCCAAATCTCCACCTTGACCATTTCCCTTTTGTCAGCTCAGTGCATTCTACTTTTCGATTTGTGTGAAACATACAAACTAAACAAAGCAAAACAAAACAAAACAAAAACCAGCCCCCCAACAGAGTCTAAATGTTAAAATGTTTCCATTCACATAAAAAGGAGCAAATGAATTTAGCAACAGAAACTTTTTTTTAGTTACCATCAATACATTTACACAAAAAATTAGAATGATAAAAAAGATTAGATCCTTGAAATCAATAAAATAGAAATTAAAAAAACCCTTGAGGTGAATATATTTATCAATTTACATAATACAATTTTACATATATACACACACACGCGCACACACTTCCTTTCTCTTCCTCACATATACATCGATGATATGTTGGCTTACTATGGAGAATATGAGCTGATATATCCCTGAATTTTGTAGGAAAAGAACATCAAAAGTCAAAGTTCAAGTTATACTTGCTATTACATCAAGTAGCGAGAAAAAAACCCATTTTTTTCCAAAGATTGTGGGGGCAGAGAGTTAGGAGAAGATGGTGTATAAGAATGTGATAACTCTCATTTTAATATCCTATTGCCAACTAGTGTTGAGGTATATGACAAGTAGGAACATTTTCAAACATTTAAATGTATTTTCTTAAGCTCACATTATATTTTTAATAGCAGGCTGAGTAGCACCATGATGTGAATTCAGCTCCAAACCCATGTCCCATATATAGATAGATAGATAGATAGATAGGTAATATATAATTATATATTTGTACAGTATTAAAATACTAAAGCATTGCATTAATTTTTTTGTTTACAAGTTAAGTTACTATACATCTCTTTTGCTTATGCTTTTATACAAATCACCAATTTAAAACCCACTACAGCAAGCCAGCTGCCTGTTTCAGAGCCTTTGTTTCACCAACAAAACCATACAGAATAACCCTGTGTTTACTTGTCTTGATTTTTCTCAAATTTTCCTAGTAACGGGGGACACTTTTACTGAGCAGTAAAGTACGCTGTAACATAAATAACCTATCAAGCATGAAAGTAGTCTGACCAGATATTTGGAGAATTTTACAGATCCTTAAAAAGTAGCAGAAAAAAAACCTGAACTACTCAATTGTCAAGTCTAATCTCGGCTGCCTATTACCTGTGGCTAATTTTATTTTCGAAGTACACCTTTTGAGGAATAAGCTTGTCATCATAATTGTACCAAAAATAAAAAATAAAAAACAAGCCCCACATATGTTCACAATATAATTGTGTAATATAAGCACCAGAATATGGGACTTGTGTATTAAGCATATTCCTTTGTATCCAGTGAGCCCCATTTGACTTTGAGCAGCATAACAAAGAGATTTCTTTTGCTTTGTTGCCTATTAGATATATGAATAACCGGTTTTACATTCTCAGGATGGTGAGAAACCAACAGCTAGGAAAAAAAGTTCAGCATTCTCCTTCTGAGTGCAAAATACTACCTACTTAAGACAAAAAAAGGAGGTGGGCTGCTAAAAAGATCTAGCTGCATGAGTAAAATAAGACATTTCAGCATCCCACTCCTGTTTGAGCTGCCAAAGGTTAGGTAGACAAAGAGCTTTTGAAGCACCAATGAAAAGTATATTTTCCTAGCATGTATTATTATTTTTTATTGGATTGCATGAATAAACTCTGAGAAGATCCAACAAAGCTATGCGTGGGCATTGGTAAATGGAAGAGACAAGTGCCAACAAAGAAAGTGAAACTCTCTGCCCCAGTATGGTGGAAGATCCTTATTTGGAGGTTTTAAACAGAGACTGGATGGCCATCTGCCAGGAGTGCTTTGAATACAATTTTCCTGCTTCTTGGTAGGGGGTCGGACTGGATGGCCCAAAGGAGATTCCACCTGAACATTAGGAAAAAAACTTCCTAACTGTGAGAGCTGTTCAGCAGTGGAACTCTCTGCCCTGGAGTATGGTGGGGGCTCCTTCTTCGGAGGCTTTTAAACAGAGGCTCGATGGCCATCTGACAGGGGTGGTTTGACTGCAATTTTCCTACTTCTTGGCTGGGGGTTGGACTAGATGGCCCACAGAGTCTCTTCCAACTCTATGATTCTATGATCCTATGAAAGGAGTAGCAGTTCAGAGTACTGAACTAGGACCCTGAAGACCTGGGTTTTGAATCCCTGCTCATCCATGGAAATCCACTGAGTATCCTTGGGCAAGTCAGACTTTCTCAGTCTCAGAGGAAAGTAAAGGCAAACCCCCTCTAACAAATCTTGCCCAAGGAATTCCCTGTGTAAGTTTGCATTTGGGGCACCACAAGTCAGAAATGACTTGAAGACACACAACAATATTTCAGAAAAGAGAATGAAAGTTGTTTACATGGTCTTTGGCTCTCCTTGAACTTTTCATATTTTCCCTGACCTCAGTGCTATATTTGCAGGAACCAATCACATACTACTCTTGTTTGGAAATGGCTTTGCTGAAACTGGAACAACCGAAATCCTGCCAACATCCAAGTTTTTAAGAGGCTTCGGAAGTGTATTAGTTAATATGTTATGGCCCTATCTGAACTGATCATTTAATGCAGTTTGAGGGTAACTGCTATGAACACTCACAAAAGTATGTGAAAGGAAGACCTCATCAGTGCTCTATGGTTTAGCAGTGTTCTGTACTACCCCTCTATTCTGCATTGGCTAGACCGCACCTAGAATACTGTGTCCAATTCTGGGTACTACAACAAAAGGAAGATGTTGACAAGCTGGAATGTGTTCAGAGGAGGGTGACTAAAATGATCAAGGGTCTGCTGAACAAGCCCTATGAGGAGTGGCTTAATGAGCTGAGCATGTTTAGCCTGCAGAAGAGAAGGCTGAGAGGAGACATGATGAGGGCCATGTATAAATATGTGAGGGAGCAAGCTTGTTTTCTGCTGCCCTGGAGACTAGGATGTGGAACAATGGCTTCAAATTACAGGAAAGAAAATTCCACCTGAACATTAGAAAGAACTTCCTAACTGTGAGAGTTGTTCAGAAGTGGAACTCTCTGCCCTGGAGTGTGATAGAGGCTCCTTCTTTGGAGGCTTTTAAACAGATGCTACATGGCCATCTGTCAGGGGTGCTTTGGATGCAATTTTTCTGCTTCTTGGTAGGGAGTTGGACTGTATGGCTCATTCTATGATTCTATGATGCTATAATCTCCATCTATTTGGGCCTCAAACTGGTTCCAGGATTTCCTATGCAACTTTCTTCAATATTGGTCTGAAACTGTATTGAATTCTGCTATTCAGTGGGTCTTCACTTCTTTTCTAATTCATGTCACCACAAAAGAGAGAGAGAGAGATGCAATGATCCACATTGCATTTCAATCTAAGCAGGGTTGATATTTACAACCACACTTGGAAAATAAAAAATATATTAAATTATGGTTTGTTAACAAACCAGGATTATACTTTGTATTTTAATTGCAGCTTGTTTGCCAATCACAAGATAAACCAATAATTTTTCTCCCATTTGGATAAGTTCTGGTAAACTTAAAACAGGTGACAACTCCTTGACACCTAATGGATGCATCATTACTACTACTACTACTACTACATCATCATCATCATCATCATCATCATCATCATCATCATCATCATCATCATCATCTAGTACTGATAAATTATGGCACAATTATGTCCAAATGTGCACCTAGAAAACTTAGCTTAGATGACAACTCCTAATTTTTTTCAGTTGGGGGATTCTGGAAGACATAAGTAATTTTTTAAAACTCTGGTCTGAAATATACTTTTGTCTACACATACAATGAAAAGCATTAGAATTTGTGCAAACGGTTGTTATGTAAAATTTTAAGCTGACCACTGGCTTTACATACAATCATTTTATTGCCCATGGATAGCTTCGTTAGATCATGACTCATCTCATTTCTTGAATTTTTAATTCATAATTCATCTAATTACCTGGATATTTTTTTTTAAAAAAGAATAGAGCTAAACTGGATACAAATGCAAAATTAAAAAGTTCCTGTTCAAGGAGAGAAGAATATACTTTTAACTTAATCATTGTTAACGAAAGACATTAAAACTGTTAGACACCATTCTTATATATAGCACCATGTTTTAGAATAGCCAAACAAATTCAGTGTTTTTGTTTGTATACCTTGTTATCTATATAGCTATCCCGATTAATAAAAATCAAGTCAATATTAAGCTTACAGTTGAAAAAGAACCCCTGTATGATAAAAAGCAGTATTTCTTGTATTTCAGCACAGTACAGATTCAGCACCTGGTGGAATTTTAAAATTTCTGCTACTGAAATACTACAGTATTTTTTTACTTTATAAAACAAACAAACCATTGTAACTGTACTTCTTTTCATTAAAAATGGTCAGTGATGCATTTTACGAATATGGATTCTCTCTTCCAGTAGTTGAGCCAGTGTTTCAGTGTTAACTGCTGACTATCACTTAATTTATTAATTTTGCATAGGGTGCTTTGGTTTGAATTCGCAGCATGTGATTTTCTGCAACTTACCAAATGAATGCAATGGTAGCATCACCGCTTATGCTGGTATGAGGAAGTTTTCCCATCAACCAGTTAAAAACCAAAATACTGTCTCTTGCCCTTTCCCTGTCCACAGCCTAGAAAGAATGATCACCGTATTGACATTTAAAAACAAAAGTAAACAGATGAGGTAATGAACAGAGATTTGACTTCTATATATATCGGTTGTAAGGCCCTGTAACCCGTGTAAAGGCATATGGAGATGTGGTAACTGTGGAGTTTGTGGTGAGCGACATCGTCCTTTGTGCAAGAGACCTGATGAAGCGCATGTAGGTGGGTTCCAAGTTCTCATTCAGTTCAACAGGCTCCCGCTTTACTTTTTTACCATGCACTTTCTGAGGCACATAATCTGGACCATACCTTTCACAGTCCTCCTCCTTTTCTCTAGCCTTCTCAGCCATTTTGGCCTCCCATAAAGCTAGACCATGCTTCGGCTCATTCATACTTTTGTGCTGGTAGAAGACAAGCGATATCCTTGTGGGGTGGTTCCTGTTAGGGTTTTTCAATGGGGTTGTTGCATGGAGTTCACGTTTTGCACACTCTATGAGAATTGACCCATGAGACGGGGCAACTGCCACACCTCCAATATCAGGATCCAGGAAGCTCTGTTCATTGTCTGACCAAACATCATCAGGATCCTCTGGCTGGTTGAGCACCTCAGTTTTATTTACACCCTCTTGGGAAGCAGTTCTATTAGGATTAAGATCTGGAAGCATATTTGACAGCCCATTTGTTGTTTGACTATCCTTGTTTTGGAGATGGAGTGAATGAGGAGGACCGCTGAACATACCTGCAGTAGATTGGTAGTCATGGGCTAGGTGTGGAGGGGGATATAGATGGTCACTGTTTTTATTTATGTAGTCCATGCCTGGATTATTTAGACTAGATTTCAGTCTGGAGGCAATGTCCATAAAAGGGTCCTCAGCCTCATGTGTGGAGTAAGGAGGAAAAGAACCTGCATGCTGAACATTTGGCCTAATGGTGCAACTGTTGAATGCATCTACCTGCACATTTTGGTTTCCGTAATTCAAGTACCTGGGCCCAAAATTCTGGCTATTTCCAAACCTATGCTGATATAATGTATGAATTGGAGGTAGACTTAGTTTAGATAGAGAATCTTGGCTCTGATATCTAAACAAGTCCATATGCTGAGGCTGAGAAGAATAGGAACTGTAATAGGAAGAACAATTGTCCATAGGCAGATTTCCATTGCATTGGTAATGGGGATATTGGCTATTTTGACCCAAGTGTACAGAGTAGGGATTCACAAGACCGGAAGAATTTAAATAAGCTCCTGTAGGCTGTGAAGATGTTGGGTAGATATTCATGGGGTTAGATCCTCTGTAAGATTCTGGAGCATGTGAAGAGTTTGAATATGGATTGGCTGGATTAGGGAGACCCATGTAGAGGTTTGCAGAACCTGAAGCGGAGTATGCGTTGATGTGGTTTGTCTGAGATTTAGCAGGAAGGGCATGGTATGGATGTTGATACAACTGCTGCTGTGAGATGGCTGGTCCTGAAAGTCGTAATAGATCTGAGGACACAACAAAGAAATGTAGGAAAGAAACAGCATTAGGGAAAAAGGAATCAAGATTACATATATTGAATGCGTGTTTGTATGTCTAGAAAAAAGTCCTTGTGTTCAAACTCCTTTGAAGGTATCTGCACTAATCAATTGGTGCTTCTTGCCTTCTAAAAACCCAATAAGCTGCCACCACTGTGTGGAAGATTATGGATGAGATAATAGGTTTCCTTCACTGACCTATGTTTAGGATTGCTCTGGTCTTTGCTTCCTATATTTGTAATAGATCAGAGAAAGGATGACCTCCCAACTCTTTTTAAGGCATTAAGGGCTCAAGGTGACTACAAAGCATCAGAGAAAAGTTACTGAGTAAACAGAGTTCTTCTCACATGCCTCTACATCAGTGGTTCCCAACCTTTTTTGACCAAGGACCACTTTGACCAGGGATCACTTTTCAACATTAGTACCAAAAGGGTTACAAATCAGTTTTTGGTCAACTTTAGATTTGGTTTGGTTATGTGGAGTGCTGATTCAGAAAACTGCATTGGATATACCACATCAGCTCTAGTTTCTGATACAGAACATATGCCACCCAGTAGTCGCCATCTATTCAACCACAGAAAACCACTATAAGAGGATTTTGCGAGACCAGTTGTTCTTGTTGCAACGGTATTGCAATGGTGTAGTAACGGTGAAGCTGCAGGTCATATTTTAGTTCTTATGGACCACTGGTGGTCCAAGGACCACAGGTGGGGAACCACTGCTCTACATGCAACCCAATGTAACTTGTGTAATGTAAATGGAACACAGCCATCAAAATTCTCTCCTGTTCTCGCCCAAGGAAACTGCTAATTTCATATTCAATATTGAATATACATTTTTGTCTTTAAAAAAGTCTTATGACATTTTGAAAACTAATAAATGTCATTTGGACTACACAACTATATTGTCTGATGGCACCAGATCTTGTCTGATTTTAGAAGTTAAACAGTGGCAGTTCTGGCTAGAACCTGGATGGAAGACTGCCAATGAACACCAGGTGTTTTGGGTTATGTTTCAGAGGAAAGAACTCAACATTCCTTCCTGATGAAAGCTCTACGAAAAACACTGGGTCACCACAGGTTGACAGGCAACTTGTGAAGTCACAGACACATGCACACATTCATAGTCTGCAGCCCATTTGTCACCAAAGTTGTTATGATGCAGGAAGACCCTTTATTTTTTTCTACCACATGGCAAGCCCATTTCATCCCACCTCAAAATATTTCTTTATATTATATATTATCATGTATAAAGGCTTCTACATATTAATTTCTTAATCCCAAGCATGGCTTGAAGCTATATGTGTGAAAATTGGAGATCAAATACAGCACCAAATCCTGAACGAGGAATGATGCCTGTGTAAATGGGGTCATTCAGATGAAAGCATAAGGGTTAAACTGGATGTGATGGTAAATATACTATCTCAGGCTCCTCCATCCTTTCATATTAAGTGCACTTTATAAAATGCAAAGGATGCCCCCTGGGAACCTGAGCATGGTTGAGAATGGTTTAGAGAGTGGAAGTTAAAACCTTTCCCCTGCCTGTAATGACGCTGAAAATCTGCCTCTCCCCACTGGTATTTGGACTGAGGAGAAAACTCTCACTAGCATTTAATAATATATTTGATGAGAAAACAGCAGTGGAACCAATGGGACTTTCCCTCATCTGAATCCATTTTCAGCATGGGGTTGAATTTGTTGTTTGTGCCTCCAAATCATTTGAAACTTATGGTGACCCTAAGGCAAACCTATTGTGGGATTTTCTGGGGAAGATTTGTTGCTTTTGCCTTCCTCTGAAGCTGGAGAGGGTAACTTTAATCTCATTTATAAATATGTAAGAAATGATTCTAAAACTTTAAATGAGCCTGGTGAACTGACATGGAGTTCAGCATGGAATGCAAGCCCTCTTGTAGTTTTGTCAGGTTGTGATTTCCCCAGATGTTTTTAAACAGTATCATCTATGTGGTGTTGAAGGCTTTCATTGCCAGAATCACTGGGTTGCTGTGAGGCCATTCAATGCTAATGATGGTGGCCAATTGCAACATTCACACTTGCCTCAGACAGACAAGAGTTCTTTCTCCCACCCTGGACATTTCACAGATATATAAAATTCAACTGCCTTATTTCCAACAGACCTCACAACCTGTGAGGATGACTGCCATAGAGAATACTTCTGGAAAATGGCCACACAGCCCGGAAAACTCATATCAACCCAGTATCATCCATCTTAGCTCACTATTGACTACCCTGGCTAAATCCGAATGACAGTAGTAGTCCAATCACAAATAGAGGGATATAAGTTGACCACCAATGTCATAAACAAGCAAGCAAGCAAGCAAACCAAACACACAAACTCACTAAAGATGTTCTCAAGTGGTTTATGGATGTAGAGAAGTCTCAGGCTCTCAAAAACTGAATGTTTGTGTCTGAGCATGACCTTACACTTTCCCCCCATCCCAGACAATAAATGATGTAAATAATAGATTCTGGCTGACCAGCACCCCAAATTTACTGCCAAAGTTGCTAGCCTTTGTGCAGCAGCAATAAATAGCTTGTTGGTACAAGTTGCTATCACAGTCTTAGAAGGTTTTAATACCTATTTTGGTTTTTACCTTTGTCATCTAAGTATTCAAATGTTTACTATTTTGTCTATCATATTCAATACTGGCTTTTAATTCCGCTTTTAACAAGGTTTCCTAATGCAGTAGAGCCTCGTTTATCCAACTTTCACTCATCCAACGTTCTGTAAATGCAGTTTGCCTTCCGCCCGGATTTACAGCTGTTTCAATACACATTGCGATGTTTTGGTGCTAAATTCATAAATACAATAATTACTACATAACATTACCGTGTATTGAACTGCTTTTTCTGTTGATTTTTTTTGCAAAACATAATGTTTTGGTGCTTAATTTGTAAAATCATAACATAATTTGATGTTTAATTGGCTTTTCCTTAATCCCTCTTTATTCTCCAACATTTTTGCTTATCCAACGTTCTGCCGGCCCATTTATGTTGGATAAGCGAGACTCTACTGTACCTAAATGCAGGTCATATTCCTACTTCGATGTTTTTTCTTCTTTTTCTTGCTTTTGGTGCTGGTTATTGACAATAATAGTAATAATAATACACTCACAGATGTGGCAGAACTCTGACATTCATATACACTTATTTTAAGTCATACCTGCTAACTGTTTTGCATGACCTGATTGCTCTGTGTTGGCCTGTTTCGAACGTGCAGTTGCTGCTTTTTCCTTGTCATGTTTGCTAGACCCATTCTCCATAGCAGCCAGTTTCTCACTGGCTGCTTTCCTGGCTTCCAGCTTTTTTTGCCGACAAGTCTTAACCGGTTCAGCCAGCATCCTAACTTTTCGCCGAAAACAACTGAGGACCTGGATGCTACCATTTCGCTTTTTCTCCTCTTGTCCTTCCGTGCTTCCAAATTCATCTATATGGGAGATTTTGTACAAAGGGAGCACATGCAGTTGTTCATCTTCTGGCGTTTGACCAATTTCACGATTGTCTTCTCTGGTTAGTGTGCATACCTGTTAAAATAATGGGTTGAAATGACCTCTTAAAATGACAGAACACAGAGTGGTGATGTTTGGCTGAACATAATGTTGCTTCCACTGTAGAAGCACTTCATGCAAACCTATCAGAAATGTAGAAACAAAGCTAAGAAAGTGCATGTCTTTGTGACTAAGCTTGAATATAAATTTATACTGTTAACTTTGTACTTATGTGTTTTATTTTACCAGATTTCCTGATTTACGTGCAAATTAATCCTACCATTTAATGAGTTTATTATTATCAGAATGTTTTAAAATCACCATCGAAAGTCCCTTTTCTTTTTAAACCTTTTAGAATAATGTGTCATTTTCTCTGTTAACAGATGAGAATGCTGGAGACTTCAAACTACATTCTTAAGGATTCTGATTTTTTTTATCGTGTCAGACACGAATTGGAGTCACTTCTGGTGTAAGAGAATTGGCCGTCTGCAAGGACATTATCCAGGGGATGCCCAGATGTGTTACCATCCTATGGGAGGCATTTCTCATGTTTCCACATGGGAAGCTGGGGCTGACAGACAGGAGCTCACTCCGTCTTGCGGATTCGAACCACTGACCTTCAGGTCTTCAGGTCAGCATTTCAGCTGGCACAAAGGTTTAACCCATTGCGCCACTGCGGCTTCTAAGGATTCTGATAAAGACATCAGATTAGGCACAGCAATATTAGGTCCTGCAATCCACAAACTAGTCATAGCAATACCTCTATTCAGTCCTAGCACTTTATTATTTCAGTACATAATAATGGCAACAAGGTCAGGAGCATAGAATGCTGCAAATCCCTATTTTCTTTTAATTAAAAGTCTGGAAGGTTTTTTATTACTCTTCATATAAACATTTCACTGCTTTTCCCCTCCTTCAACAACCATCATGTGCTAATTTAATAGAAATACAGATTATGAAAAAATAATGACAGTAACTGAGGAATTTAGTTCTGCATGAGTTCAGCTTCATGCATCACTGACTTACCAATGTACTGCCATTCTGCATATTATGCAAGTCCCTGTGAGCATGAGCACAAAAATCCAGACAGGCAGTGACCCCGGAGAATGGCCGACCGTCTTTTAAACCCAGCCGACACTCAGGTGCCCTGTGTTCATATTCAATCTGTAAATAAGATATACTTCACATTAGCATTATCAAAGTATTTGACTCAATTCTACACACAATTCTCTATATTTAAAATCTAACTTAGGTTTAACGCTGTTTCCATGTTGAGTATAGGGGCCAGGAAAATAGACCCACTGCAGGAATGAATTTGCGGTCTTATAGAACTACATTTGTAAGGAGCAACATAAGTGTTGGTGAGCTTCCAAGATTTAGTCAGAGCTTGGAAGCTTGGAAACATTTCTTTTTTTACTACAACTCCCAGAATCCCCCTATGAGTGTAATTATAATCTTACTAGGGATTCAGAAAATTACAATCTAAAATCTTTTCCAGGTTCTAATTATAGAAGTGTTGTATGCATTTTTGAAAACTTCATTTACTTTCTTTTCCATAAGAACAGCATTCATGGATCTCATCAACGCTCATCTAGCCTATTATTCTTATTCAAAAGGCACTGCAGATGTCTTAGTAAAGGTAAAGGTTTCCCTTTGACATTAAGTCTAAGGGGTGGGGAGGTGTTCATCATTTCTAAGCCAAAGAGCTGGAGTTGTCCATAGATGCCTCTTGGGTCATGTGCCTGGCATGACTGCATGGAACACCGTTACCTTCCCACCAGAGTGGTACCTACTGGTCTACTCACAATTTGCATGTTTTTTAATTGCTAGGTTGGCAGAAGTTGGGGCTAACAACCAGACCTCAGCTTGGTCCCCAAATTTAAACTGCAGACCTTTTGGTCAGCAATTCAGCAGCTCAGCAGTTTAACACACTGTGCCACCAGGGGCCCCTGGTGCCTTAGGGAGGTCAAAATTAGTATGGCTTTGTTCCATCCTTGTTCCCAGCATCCACTGCTCACAGATATTTTATACAATAGCAGCAAACATATTTTGTGAACACTTATGTATCCAAAATAATAATATTGACAAGGAGTAAAATACTATTATGGTTAAGAAATCACAAATTTGCAGAAGAACAGTTTTTCTAAAAGGAAATCCCTCAAGGGAAGACATCACCAAAGAATACATACCTAGGAAGCTCAGCAGAGAAGTAATGCTGGGGTGGTGTTCAAGGTATATCTGCACTACAGAGTGACAGCAATCTGACACTATTTTAACTGTTGTCACTCCATTCTAGGCACCATATATACTCAAGTATAAGCTGACCTAAATATAAGCAGGGGCACCTAATTTTACCACAAACACTGGGAAAACTTATTGACTTGAGCAATAAGTGGGACGTGGGAAATACAGCAGTTACAGGTAAATTTCAAAAATAAAAATAAAAATAGATACCAATAAAATTATATTAGTTGAGGCATCAGTAGGTTAAATGTTTTTGAATATTTAATATTTTGAATATTAAAACTGTAATTTAAGATAAGACCGTCCAACTCTGATTTTCAAGATATCCTGAGAAATAGGATAAAGAATTAAAATCAAGGCAACATGAGAAGGATTAGAGCCCCAGAGAGCCCTCAGAAATCCCATCCTGGGAATACTGACACAAAATTCAGAATTAAAAAAAAGAGCTCCTGGAGACAACAGCAAAGAGGTTTCCTAATAATCATTTTAACATAATGTATTAATTGTTTGGTCCACATTATCAAAAGTATTTTTCACATTCCATTCTTTAGCCAGAAATTTTTTTGCAAAGCATGACAATTCTGATCTGCATTAGCAATAGTGCTTACTGATTTTAGGGGCACCCACTCTTTTCACAATTTGATCATCCTGCTTGCCATTCTTACCATGTTGAGAGAGGAGCTCAATTCTGATAAAAGAGATGGCCTTCTCAAACTAAATAGTGAACAACATGTAAAAGTACACTAAAAAAATTTCTTTTTAAAATTCTTACAAAGAACTGTCCAAAAGATTTCTTATTAATATAATGAGACTTCTACGCACATAGTGTACTTCTGCGTTACTGGCTGAATTCTGCATTTTGTTTACCTACCTGGTTGTTGTAAGCATCAGGTGCTAGTTTTTTGTAAGTAGGAGCCATTAGTGTTGATAGTGTTTGAAGACTGGATTCTAGTTTTTCTTCCTGTTTTTAGAAAGAAGATAACATGTAACTTCACTGATTTTAGGTAGGTAAAGGTTAAGTCCAGTCATGTCCTATTTTGGGGGTTGATGCTCATCTCCATTTCTAAGCTGAAGAACCGGTGTTGTCCATAGACACCTTCAAGGTCATGTGGCTGGCATGACTGCATGAAGTGCCATTACTTTCCTGTCGGAGCAGTACCTAGTGATCTACTCACACTGGCATGTTTTTGAACTGCTAGGTTGGCAGAAGCTGAGGCTAACAGCGGGAGCTCACACTGCTCCCTGGATTCAGTCTTTCAGTAAGCAAGTTCATCAGCTCAGTGGTTTAACCCACTGTGCCACCGGGGGTTAAAAAAAAAGACCACTGTCCTGGCAGTGCCAGGAGATTTGATTTCTTTTCTTGCACTGTTAGTGTGTTTGAATTCATTTGGGCCATGCATTTTGCAAATGGGGAACTTTCCCCAGGTTGCAGTCATAGGGTCAACAACCTATCAATCATCATTAGAGCCTTTAGATCCGCCCCTTTCCCCAGGTTTGGAGGGAAAAGGGGACTTTTAGTTCAGTCTCACAGTTTGGAGCCTTACAGCAGGACGTGTGGGCTTTCTCTGTCCCACCTGTAAAAAGCTTCACTCCTTACAGCTTTTTCTAGGGTTAAAGAAACAGATCTACAGCCAGCTTTTGCTGGGGGAAAAGGAAAACTTCTACAGCTTTGCTGGGGAGTAAAGTTACAGTTCCACAGCTTTGCTGGGAACAGCCAGCTTTTGGTGGAAAATAAAGGAATGGTTCCATGGCCTTCGTGGGGCAAATTTACAGGACACCAGCTTGGCAGATCTACAGCAACTATTGCCTGGTAAGGGACCACTCGGGCTATCCATAACACAGGTTGGAGCTGGGAGTTGGGGCCTTACGCCAGCAGGGTAAAGAAAGATTGCCCAAGGAGGTGTCGGAAGGTTTCCCTAAAGAAGATAGGAACAGTTTATCAAGCAGTTGCCTGTCCCTTGTTGACAGATCGAGAAAGCTACTAGTTTTTCAAGATTATAAAGCATTTAATTCATTTGTTTGAAGATTTAAGCCTTAATAAAGAACTTTGTTGAACCTATTTTGAGCCTCTACAGAACTTTGTGTTGGGAAACCTATGGGACCCTTTAGCTGAGGCACTCCGGCGTCCTGTTGGGCATACAGAAAGCACGTCCTGTAAACAGACATTGTCATAGGCCCAGCACGCGACAGCACAACCATGCAGGACTTGTCCTGATTTTACATAATAACAAAATTATCAAATGCAGTATCTGTAGTTCACTTTGGCATTGTTCAATAGACAATCCAACAAACAAACAAAAATATACATAGTTTATGAGTCTAGGAAACCAAATGCTGGGAGGAACAGCTGAAAAAGATGGGCATGTTTAGTTTGAAGAAAGTGCATTACAATGTAGATGCACCCATACTTGATCACGAAAAGAAATCTAAAATAAGTGGGTGAAAATTGTAGAGAGTTAGACTTTGATATAAAATTCTGATACATTTCTGCTTGTAGAACATATAGATTCAATGTACTGTTTTATTTAAATTCTAGTAAGCTGCCTAAATACCCAAAAGGCACTAGATCTCATCTGATCTTAAAAGCTAAGAATGGTCAGCCCTGGTTAATACTTGGGTGGGCGATTGTCAGCCAATACCATGTGCTGTGGGCTGTATTTCAGGGGAAAGAACTGTTAAAACCACTTCTGAATATCCACTACCTAAGAGGACCTTATGGAATTAATGGGTTCACCATAAGTCAATGGGTGACTTGAAGGCACATACTCATGCACAAACTACTGAAAAGAAGAACAAGTTTCAAAATGCATATGAAGACATATCAAGAACTGAAATGCAATATAGTTAAATGTGTGGAGACCTGGGAAAAAACTGAGATGAGACCTTGGAAAAGTTCCTTTTTAGATGACACCTCCCAAAACTTTGAGCCAACCTGGCTGACAACCACGTTATTTTGGAGAATCAGTAAGGTTTAGTCCAAAAAATAATGCTTCTAAGTTCTGTTTGGGACAAATACTGGCATCATTTTAATGTCTTATCATCACTGTTCCTTGTCCTCCAGATAATGCAAAATGCCCCACAGAATGCAGAACATGTCATTTTAATTTGTGCCTACCTCTTTTGGATCATCTCCTAATAGTTTAAACTTTCTTGGGATCTTGCTTCTGGCAAATTTACATCCGTTGTAGTACATACTCCATGAACAACCAAAAGAAAAAGATGCACCACAACTCTCAGAGTCCAGGCCTTGGCATGCACAAGTTCGTCTAAGAAAGAAAAAGAAAAAGAAATGCAATTCTAGCAGCTCAGCAAACACAGGATGTAGGGCAGCAAAATGCCCATGCCTACAAAATTACACATTAGGAGGTTTTTCCAAATGATCTCACTAGATTCAATAATATTGAATGTATAACATTATCTTTAAACATAAGAAGTTGAGATGATTTCCTGAACTATAATTGTCAGAAAAATAAGTCAGAGTAACTTGCCTTCCACATGAAACAATTAGCACACACTTAACTAAGTTAGCTAGGAAAAAGGATCACCCTCACACTCGAGAAAAAAATCCATTTAAAATCTGGTTTCTGCCTCCTGAAGCATTCTGGGGTTTGGAGTTTAGGCAGGTGTCTTTAACAGCCTCACTAAATAACAAACCCTAGAATTCTGCAGGAGGCAGAAACTGGATTTTAAGTGGGTGACTCGGAAGGCACTGAGCAGACTGCACTCTGGCACCACGAGATACAGAGCCAACCTTAAGAAATGGGGCTACAAAGTGGAGTCCATGGCATGCAGGTGTGGAGAAGAGCAAACCACAGACCACCTATTACGATGCAGTCTGAGCCCCGCCACATGCACAATGGAGGACCTTCTTATAGCAACACTAGAGGCACTCCAAGTGGCCATCTACTGGTGAAAGGACATTTAATAGAATGCCAAGTTTTCAAAATATGTATTTTTTTGTTTTTATTTTTTTTAAATAATACAACTGTTTTGTTCACTCCTGATACGATAAATAAATAGCTTCTGATTTGTAGTAATGGAATCCTTGTGTTGCTTGATGATATTGCTTCAAATTATTGGCATGAAAATGGAATAAAAACAGTCTTAATAGTTAATTCATTGAACCAGCAGAACATTGGGGGAAAAGGTTGAAGAGGCATACAGCTCTTCTTTCAGCCTTCCTCTCAGCAGTTGACAAATCCAACAAATACTAAGTTAGTAGGCTCAGCTTCAATAGTGCATGAAGTATCTATCTTGTCTACTCTCCACTTGCAGGGAAAGAAGTCCATGTGTTACTTACTCTTCATTGAGAGCACACCGGCGGTTTGTAAGTGTGCCATACTTCCTTAAAGTCTCAGAGAGATCGGAATACAGCTTGTCTGCTAGGCTCTGAGGGATTCCTTCCCACACCAAGATGAGCACAACGATCACTGCTGTTTCACAGCTGTGGCCTGCACGTTCTCGCACCAAACACAGGAGTTTTTCTTCAGTGCTACTTCTACGAATCACCTGCACATGCAGTCCAAAACACCCCACCCCAAAAAGAAATGGTTGCTTTTAGTAAGGTGGAAAGCAAAATAGTCTCAGCTTTAAAATAATTTACAACAACACTCTTGTCCAGTCTTCTTTTAGCACAGATTATTGTGTTTGGTAGAGCAAATTTTTGCATCCAATGGCTCTCTAACATCTCCAGGGAATGATGTTTTCACACCAAAGGACCCCAAAGACCTCTGCTTGAGTTCTCTCAGGGCTGCTGCCAATAAGAATAGAGGAACAATATGAAAAAAGATAGTCTGACTCATTATGTGGCAATATCATATATTAAGCTATACACTAATAGATAAAAGCCAATGAAATAATGGGCTGAATTTTTTATAATTTAATATGCACGACATGTGCTGCCTACTTACAGTTGGCCTCTGAATATGTTTTTGACAGTAGGTATTAAATTGTTATAATAGTTTTTACTGTATCCAAAAGCTACTTGAGGGCTTATGGGAAAGGGATGCTAAGAATTACTATGGGAGTTTATGACCAAATAAATACAGAACATTTAATGAGTCTGAAAGGCTTTTTGGTGATGCTCATTTTCAAAAGCACTGCAGTTTTACTTATTAATTTTGCTTTTTTAATATAACACTACTAGGTTCCTTCTCCTGCAAAATCTTGCAAGACTCGGCTGTCATTAATTGTGGGATGCGTTTTACACTTCAGTTATTTTAAAATCGATCCGACCTCTACACTTATCATATTCCCTTTAACAGTGATTCTCAACCTGTGGGTCCCCAGGTGTTTTGGCCTACAACTCCTAGAAATCCCAGCCGGTTTACTAGCTGTTTGGATTTCTGGAAGCTGAAGGCCAAAACATCTGCTTTAGAATCTATCTTAAACCAAATAAATAAAACAGAATGTGTAAATTGACTTATTTCATTCTGGCAGATTTTGTTTTCATCTGGTGGACAAAAAGTTTTTCCATCAAGCATGGAGAACCTCTTTCTGACCTAGTGCTGAATTCAGTTTCAGAAGTTATTAGGGAGCTACATTCCAGTGTCAAAGACAGAAAAGAATACCAGTATGTTTAGCTGAAAAGTACAGAAACTTCTTCAGAAATTACATATTCTCTGCCAAGAAAGAGAAATACACCCTGTATCCCATGAGGAGTTACTTTACTGCTGCTGATAAGAGTCTAAATTCTACTGTCTTTTGTCTCGGTTCTCACATGACCAAAAATATGAATGTGGCTTTTGCATGCATTGATATTCCTGTAGACAACTGAACTGAACAACAGAAGCAACAAAAAAGATAAAGGTTTCCTCTTGACATTAAGTCTAGTTGTGTTCGACTCGGGGGGGGGGTGCTCATCTCAATTTCTAAGCCGAAGAGCCGGTGTTGTGTGCAGACGCCTCCGGCATGACTGCATGGAGCACTGTTACCTTCCCGCCGAAGTGTTATCTAGTGATCTACTCACATTTGCATGTTTTGAACTGCTTGGTTGGCAGAAGCTGGGGCTAACAGTGGGAGCTCACCCTGCTCCCTGGATCTGAACCGCTGACCTTTCAGTCAGCAAGTTCAGCAGCTCAGCAATTTATCCCGCTGCACCACTGGGGGCTCCAAAATAAACAATATCTGATATGAAACATAAGTGTATGATCCTAACATAATCATTCTTCTTTTTTGATCAACCATTTTGTAACAGAAACAATATCTGATTCAAAACATAAGTCTATGATTCCAACATTATCATTCTTCTCCTTTTTCCTGTATAATTTAAAAAAAAACATCTGCCTGGTGAAGAAGCCAGTGAAGCTTTGAAAACTTGCATAAAGTATGTTATGCATTTTGGTCATTCAATCTTTTAAAACCAGGAGAAACTTTATACAAAGAGTTTGGAAACCACCCAACAATGGTATCACAGGGAAGGGAATGTGGCTAACTGGAATAATGGGATGGCTTGATTTGGGACAGCAGGAGGGCAAAATTGTTTACGTCTGTTTTTATGGAGAAGTGGGCACAATTCTTACCCATTTGGCGATAGGGCATCCCTGTGCACTTTTGCCTTCTTTGCCTGTGTAGACAATCCTTTCTATCCTTATGGCTTTGCCCTTCTGTTCATATCTTTTCAAAGGGAAAGAGAGAGAGAGTAAGACAAATGCAAAGAATAAATAAAGTAAATATAAAAGTTGAAATTTAATACAGATTTGTGTGTACAAAGCTATTTCATCATTCCTATGGAGTGCTCCAGCCATCTTAATGTATATTAGGAGGAGAAAGGTGAATATTTGGATTTGTTTTTGTATGCTTCACTTTTTCTTTATATACATTCGTAAAGATGCCTTTCCCAACTCTGCTATAGGTAGTATGACATACATGCGAGGTCACTGCTGATTTTTCTTGCTACTGCCAACATTTTTACTTGGCAGGCTGGAGAATGCTTGTTCTCATTAGTATTTACTGGCCCCAGTTTGGGCAGTGTATGAGAGCAAGCCATCAGACCAGCCAAATACTGTGATTCTCCATTAAACAAGACAGTGCCCTGTTGGCAATGATGGAACAGCTATTTCTTTCATCTGTAACCAGGGCCATAGCCAGAAAAAAAAATCTGTGTGTGTGTGTGGTGATAAAGCGTATCATGAAGAGTAGTTACACAAAACAAAATAATTTAAATAGTATGGTTCATTCTATATTTTATATAGACTTAAATGTATTTTCTATTTTTGTTACAAATTTCAAGTCTTAAAATAATTGAAAATGACTGTTGATTGGTAATTTATAGTTACAAAAGAATACCACAACAAACACTTGAAAACTGTGTCAATACACTTTGACAGAAATCAGACTCTGTTGATAAGCTTCAGTGGACACACAAGAGTGCAAGTCCACTTAGTCTTTCTTGCCCCATTGTGCTTATTATGTATGTTTTCAAATGTTTAAGAGTCGTAAATGACCTATATATAGACATAACATTTGGGAGCCCTACTATCTGGAAAAGGGGAGGGGGAGCAAGGAGGGAAAGGCCTAGTTCCCCATTAGGAACCTGCCTCCTACCTCACGCTGAAGCAAAAAGCACAACGGGGGGGGGGGGGGGCACAACAGCCTTAGATAGCCTGCAGCTCCACTCCTGTCGACCCACCCCCACCAAGTCTGGTCTCCTTCATGATGGCCTTCAAATCCTCCCCCGCCCACCATGCTGTAGGCTTTGCCTGCCAGTTATGGATGGGCCAACTTGGTTGCTTCCACTATATTGGCTATTGGTGCAAGTAATGACAGTGTGAATAAATTGTCAAAGTTTGCTTGAGATAGTGATTGCAGTTCTGGAAGGACTCATTTAATTTTTGCTTCTCATAGACTCAGCATAGGGATTTGGTTAACCAGTTAAAATTCATGACTAAACCAGTTTTTTTAACCTGAAAATTTTCAGGGAGGGTTGAACCCCTAACCCCCACCCCCTGTCTGTAACTGTGGTGTTCTTTAGTCATGAAGACCGGGGGAAAACTGATATGCACATTTATTAATATCTTTGGCAACTCATTACCGTTCTTCCATGATTTGTCTAATAGCAGCCACATTGGGACCAGCTCCTAGATGTGTATAGAAGGGACCTTCATCTTTCTCAATAATCTGCTCTGTTTAAAACAAGATTGAAACAGGAAAACAAAAAGATTAGTATTGTATTGCTTTTGAAGTTATTTCAAAGTTGCACAACAATCTTCGGTCTAATTTATTCATTAATCTAGCGTAACTGGAATCACTGGGTTGTTGTAGGTTTTTCGGGCTATATGGCCATGTTCTAGAAGCATTCTCTCCTGATGTTTCACCTGCATCTATGGCAAGTATCCTCAGAGGTTGTGAGGACCTCACAACCTCTGAGGATGCTTGCCATAAATGAAGGCGAAACATCAGGAGAGAATGCTTCTAGAACACAGCCATATAGCCCGAAAAACCTACAACAACCCAATCTACCATAAGTCCTTTTGGGCCAAATTTCTTTAAGAAATGATTATAAATGATTATAAGATGTACATGACACACAGAGTAAAATTAACCCATAAGACGTATGGTTTCTTAAATCCTGGATAGTTATGTGCAGTTAGTTATTTGACATTTCATTGAGAGACTTATAAGAGAGGTGTAGGCGTAGCTGTGATTTTCACTTTGGAAAGGAAAAAATAAAGCAGGGAGTATTTGCACTAAAGATAATAATGAGTAATGTTTGGAATATAAGAAGCAATTTGTTCTAATTCAAATAGCATCAGGAAAGAAACTGTAGTGCATGATTATTACAATTACTCTGGCAAAGTCAGTTAAAGGCTGCTCTGCTTTGTTGTGGGAAGTTCTTGTTATATGTTATCTAAATGTTTAGCAAATAAAAGTAAATTGGATGAGATCATGCTCTGGCCACCTATGTATCAAACCACTCCTTATTGTTTCTTGGTGCAAAAAAACTGAAAGGTGAAATGTTTTTATATCATCTGGCTCAGTCATAAAGAAACTGAGTGGACTGAGATTCACACTGATAGAATTTCATAACCCTTGAACCATAAAGTTGAAATTTATGTGTCCTAGATGATTTAAAAATCACAGGAAAAATGAACTAGTTTTACTTTTTGAAGTTAAAAATATAGGTTTTGCGCAACAAACTGCTCATTTAAAGCCAGAGCAATGATTTTGAAGTGTATGAATGTATTTTATGTAGTTGTGCATTTGTAGAAACATTTTCATAATGTTAAGAAGAAGAATTGTCATATGTCAACTGTGGGTCATCTCCAGTTCCATCTAAAGTGGGATCATACAGGGATACACTTAAAGGACCAAAGTGACACAGGGTACATGGGAAGATGCTGAGTTTACCCTATTCCTCTTACCCCACAATCCATTCTCTGTGTATGTTTGTGTGCGTGCCTTCAAGTTGTCTGTCGACTTACTGCATCACCATGACATTTTTTTCTACAGTCCTGAAAGAGAGCTCTGATGGGAGAAAACAGCCCGGGGGTGGGGGGGGGGGTAGGCTAAAAGGAAAAGGTTTCCCCTTGACATTAAATCTAGTTGTGTCTGACTCTAGGGGGTCATCCTCATCTCCATTTCTAAGCTGAAGAGCTGGCATAGTCCGTAGATGCCTCCAAGACTGGTACTGCATGAAGCACCTTCCTGCAGAAGCGATACCTATTGATATACTACATTTGCACGTTTTTGAACTGCTAGGTTGGCAGAAGCTGAGGCTAATAGCAGGAGTTCACCCTGCTCCCCGGATTCGTACCGTTGACCTTTTGGCCAGCAGGTTCAGCAGCTCAGCGTTTCAACCTGCTGCACCACCGGGGCTCCAGAAACAGGATACAACGATTCTAAACCTTCATTCCATTTTTTACTTGAACTAAACACACACACACACATTTACATTCTACTGGGGATAAAGCTGTGTATGGATACATATTTTCCACTTTCACTTGCAAGTTGTAGTGTCCTAATTCACCCTCTCAGAACTGGATGCAATGTCCTTGCTCGAGCTAATTCAAGGGTGGGGAAATTACATAGTGCAAACTCCAGACAGTCACTCAGGTATTCCCCATATTTTTTAAAAAACTCAAGGTGTGCTATGTGTCCCCTAGAGAGCATGGCATGGCAAGTTCATCATATGTTTGTTCCCAGGCTGTTTTGAAACCATGACTTTTTTTCTTACAATGAAGAACCCAACTTTTACTCATTTCCTCTTTTGGAAACAGGCATCTACTAGGCTTAAAACACACCAATTAGCAGGCTTGGACCAGGCATTCTCAAACTCTGGCCCTCCAGCTGTTTGGGCATCCAAACCCCAGAATTCCTGACCACTGAACTAGCTGGCTAGGGCTTCTGGGGATTAGAAGCCCAAACAGCTGGAAGGCCAGAGTTTGAGGGTGTCTGGCTTGGAACAATGATGGGCCGTCTCCAGGTCTAGAATAGGAGTATACCCTTCATGGTCTGCTGAATGGCATGTGCAACCGACAGACTTTGGGTAGTTGTCCATTTTTGGTCTAGATATCCATCTTGCATTTCTGGCCCTGCTCAGGCTAGAAAAGGGATGGGATCTATAAAAAGTTCAAATTGATATTATTTTCTCTGAAATGGATACCTGTACTGTGCTTGGATTTAGCAAGAAAGATACCAGCTATATTCACAGTATTTGTTTACCTATAGGAAATTCCTCTTGGAGATCTACTTGGAGATCGGTATGGCTGATCTGAGATGGTTTTAAATCAGTGGTTCTTAACCTGTGGGCCGTGGAACACCAGTGGGCCACAAAGATGAAAACCTGGTCTGTGAGCCTCCTTCCTCTTTATTTATTTTGAACTTCCTGTCTCTTGATTTTGTTTTGTTTTGTTTTATTTCCTCTCTTTTGCTCTGCCTGCCACTCCTTCCCTGTCGCTGACCATGGTATATGTTCTGTATCAGATACTATAGTTATATAGTCTATCCAATGCAATTTTCTGAATCAGCACCCCAAACGGAATCTAAAGTTGACCAAAAACTGATTTGTAACCCTTTTGGTACTAATGCTGGAGAGTAGTCCCTGGTCAAAGTGGTCCCTGGTCAAAGTGGTTCTTGGTCAAGTGGTTCCTGGTCAAAAAAGATGTTGAGAACCACTGTTTTAAATAATTGATTTCAAAGTGGAGGTGGCTAATTTTAGTGTTTATATATATTTATAATTTATTTTATGTTCCAGCATTGAATGTGTGCTGTATATATGTTGTGCTCTACCCTGAGTGTCCTTCTGGGTAAGAAGGGAAGAATATAAATGCTTTAAATAAATAAACAAAAAATACTCCCAAGCAAAACAGGAAAGCAGATCACATAATCAGAAAGATTCCTGTTTGCTCACAACTTTCTCCATGAAGGAAACTGATAGAAAGCAATGGAATTATATGAATCAGAGATTTATAGCAGGTTAAATGTCCTTTCCTAAATAATTTGCTCAAATAGAATTTCTAAGAAATGCAACTTCTTTTCTCTTATTTTTAAAAAGCAATAATGTTTTCTGTAAGACAGGGCAGACCTTAAAAGTAGGGTAGTCTTAGTAAGTACTAATCAAATGGAGAGTGCCTGTATCACCTTCATTTTCAAAACATAAAATTCAACTCACCAACACAGCTGCATGAGGGGAAATCATACTGGGTTTTGACAGGTGTATCCAGCAAGTTTTTTACAGGAGTATCAAAAAACTTGGAAGGCGACTCTAAAAAATGATTGAAGGCTGTTCCCGCAGTTCTTTTGGTTGGTGTTTTTTCATTAGAATGAACAGGTTGTTGATCTAAGGATGCAGCATGAAATTCTGCAGGATTGTAATTTCTTGACAAAATAGTGATGGGTCCTGCAGATTCGACTTTTATATGTTTTGGTGATTTGATAGTAAGGGACTTGTGATCAAAGGGTGTTTTGACCTGAATCTGTCTCAACTGCTGCTCCATGGTTTCAATAATACTCCTTTGTTGCGAGTTCTCACAACTAAAGTTCTGAACCTCTTGTTTGATTGTTTTCTTCCATGTCTTGTTTTCCAACTGTCCAGCCAACTGAGGAAGACATGCATTAAACTTGGAGCCAACTTCAGCTTTGATAGGTTTGTTGTGACCCATAATGTGACATGTGTCAGATTTGTTTTGGTTCATTTGTTGCTCTTGCTTGTTTAAAATATGCCACCGGAGAGCAGCATGCTTTTGAAAATCCCTGTGGGGTTGAGATGTAAGCTGGCATTCCCTTTGATCTACTGCATTAGATACTGTTTGCTGACTATATGGCAAGTAACTCGGTTGAGTCTGGGTAGCTTGCTGGCTACATATGTTGGAGGTAAAATTTGGATATTCTTGTGTTTGCTGGAAGGGCCGTTGTGGAGCTGATTCTAGCGGAGACTGCGGCTTCTGATCCTGAAAACACTGGGATGTATCTTGTTTTGGGGTCATACTATTTGAATAATATTGCATATGCTGTAAGTCATGTGTCATGTTTTCTGCAAACAGCTCAGTGTTCATAGGTTTTTCCCTTTTCTCAGGGATTAAGTGCATGTTGTTTGGGTAGGAATGCTTTTCGATAGTATTTGCTTTGAAAGCATGATTGTTGATACCTGATCCATGGTCCAGTCTGGTCTGGGGGTTTTGTATTGGGAACTCACTTGATTTGAAGTTATTGTTTGCTGTTTCAAATTCCTCTAATTTAAACTGACTAAATGAAGTTCCTTCCAATTGCTGCTCTTGACTGCTATGTGAATGGGAGAATGCCTGGGGAACGTCTCTGTTTTTCATTTGCAATGCTTGCTGCTGGGAGTTCATGGTTAGTTGTGGATTCTGTGGCAGTTGTACTGGCTGAGTCTGGAGCATCTGTTGCAAAATATGTGAACGTAAATATTGCTCATTCTCCTGTGGTGGAGGATTTAAGTGCTGTGGTTTTAACTGTGCTTCCAAAGACTCTTCATTGTGATGTTCTGCTCGTGCCTCAAAGTGAAAGTGCTTTGCATTTTGCTGCTGTTCATGGGATTTCAACAGAGTATTCATCTTTGTAGGCTGTGGGGGTGAATGTTTTTGGAAATGCATTTGCTGGTTGGCTGTAAGGTGAGGAGGCAACTGAGTTGCCTCATTCTTGTATAGTGCTGGTATTTGCTCACATTGTGTGATATTCTGGTAGCATGCTTGTTCTGTGTGCACTTTTGACCTATCAGGATTTTCAGAATACTGCTCTGAATGCATCTGCTCTGCTGAATTTGACTGGAACTGAAGCATTGTCCTCAAAAGAACCTCATTTGATTTTTGGTGAGACTCACTGGGATGAAAGTGAGGGGATGGCATTCCTGTCCAAGAAGGCTGCAGGTGAGCTCTTGACTGTTGGAATTGATTTTTTACTGTATCTTTTTCATTATCAGCAAGATTCTCCTGATTAATTTGGCCATAGAGATGCTGAAAATGTTGCAAATCTTTACTGCTTCCTAATAATTGTGTGTCTTGAATGTGAGGCTCCATTTTGATCTGTATTTCATTGGGATATTGATGCCTGATTCCTGATGTCATTTCATTGGAGTATTGTTGTCTGACTCCTGGTGTCACTGAGAGTGCTGGATCACTTTCATTGCCAGATGAAACCTGAGCACCTTGTTGAAGACCCTGTTGTGAACTTAGTGCTTGCTGGCAAAAGTCAGGAATCTGTGTTGCAATTTCCCCTTGTAGCTGTTGCTCTCCATCTTTCTCTTCTTTAAAATGGTTCATTTGACTTTGAGTTTCAGAAGTGTTATTATGTCCTTCTGAACCCTCAATGGACAGAATACTGTTTATCTCTGGAGTTGGAGAGGAAGATGCAACTGAAGGTGAACTGAAGGAACCCTTCTTGAACATGGAATTTTGTTGAAATAAAGCACCGTTTTCACCTGAAGGCTCTGACAATCTTTTCAAGCTATTGTTTTGAGCTTTCGGGTTGTTATTGGGATTTAGTGAGAAATTTTGATTGGTTTGTGAGTAATCCAAATTGGGAACCTGCCCCGTGTCTCCTGGGACAAAGTTCTCTGCAGGTGACTGGTGTGAATTTTCTGACTTTTCCTGCTGTAACTGACGTTCTGGATTCTGAAAAGTGTAGCATGCTGGCAATATAGGTGATTCACTGGAGTTTTCAGTACTGTGGATCTCAGTAGCCACAGAAGATAGCACCTGAGGCAGCTCAGAATTTGAGGTTTGTGGGGAGCTGATCTGCCCTGAGGTATGGGATGAATGTGGTGTGCCACAAGCCAAGTCATTAGTAGCCTGAGGACTTATGGCGTTTGTAAGAGATGTGGATTTTTGCATTGCAATGGAAACATGGTCTGGATTATACTGAGAAAGTGTTTTCTCAAGGAGTTCGCCATGCATGTTTTCCATAGAAGAGGCAGTAACGATAGCACCATTAGGTATTGGCACTGCCTTGTTCTTGTGTAGCAAGACAATGTCTCTCTTGTGGCAATTAATGCCTCTATTCTCCAGTTCATCCTGAATTTGGGGAGCATGAGGAGATTTTAAAGCACCACAGTTGTATCTTGAAGACTGTATAAGAACTGAAGCTGCACTTTGTTCCACTCTAAAACCTGCCAAGTCCTTCTCACTGCATGCATTAGAAACATCTGGTTGATCACCATCAACTAAGAAGGCCTCTTTCCCTCCTTTTGCTTCTTCATCTTGTTTAAGCTTCTTGTTCTGGTAAAGCCCATACAGGGATGGATCACTGAAAGTGCGTTTTATCCCACCATTTTGCATATATTTATTACAACCTCTCCTTTCCTGCATGAGATCAGGGCTGACTCGATTATTTGCTTTTCCTTTCACAGCATGGTTCATTCCATAGCTGTCCTTGAAATGCAGCCATGTGTCATTGCCATTTATTTCAATGTGGGCCTTCTCTGCTGATGGGCTCCCATTCTGCAGCTTCACTGACAAAGGCTCTGCCTGGCAAACATGAGAAGGATGTGGAATTAGAAATGGTGTCAAACTATTGCCTTCAACATGATTGGTTCTGTCCTGTTCCATCTGGCCTACTCTGGGGCCATCCACAAGGTTGCCCGCTTACTGTATCTGAAAGAGAAAATGGGGTAGGAAGAAAGTCACACTTAAGTGATACAAAACATAAAGCTTAACATACCCACATATTTATTAAGTATTTATGCCTCCAAGTTATAGTGTACTTCCTCTAGCTAAATCAAAATCACTAAATTCACATTAAAATAATTCATGCCCATTCTATTTCTGCTACAGAGCTGACAAGTTAGATGCCCACTGTGTGGAATACATATGGCAAAAGTGCTCTGGAGTGCTAGTAAAGAATGTACACACTACAATGATTAGTAAAACGCATAATTCAAGTGTGTCAAATGTGTGCTTCACTATAAGATTGGGATAGAAACCTGTAGTATCTTTGACACGTATTCGGTCTCTCATGTGATATGTTAAATAGTCCTAAGAACACCGTGAACATATGTATAGCGCCCGATAGAGATTTAAGGGAAAAAAACAATACCCAATTTTAGATCTGTCAACTGATTTTTGAAAGCATTGCTTTGTATAAAGTCATAGTTGGATAGCAGAAAAATAGAGACATTGGATTCAATCCCTTGGCATACCAATTCTGCGGTCCAAATTGCCACATCATCATAGCTGACTATAAATTAGTTTTTTGCCCTTCTGGGATACAGGAACTTGGACTCGTGCCCCATGATATGAGCCCAGGAGCATCTCTGAATGGAAGATCATTTTGAGCATTCTGTACCCTGAAAATACAACAGAATTCACAAAAAGATCCAGGAACTCAATCAGACCTGTAATGTTTCAGGGCAGGCTATGTCTGTAATTTAAAAATCGTTACTTGTTTAATACCAAAAGAAAATATGAATATGTTGATATTCACATGATGCAGACTGTAGCAGATATATTACTCAGTGTCCTCTAATTTCTCTGTGATGTTGAGTAACAGATGGCTTAAATAGCTTACTCCTCGTTCTACTGGTTTATTGCCTTATAATGTAAAAGGTAATAAGAAATTATATAGATGCAAATTTTTGCTTCTATCTAAAATGATCACACGTAAAAATACTGAGACACCCGTGAAAGTCTTCAGTTTAAATCTTTGTATTCAACAGAAAAACAACCAAAATATAAAGGTAGGGGCAAATAATAATTCTAAGTACAGAGTTATATAATCCAATGTTTAAAACACAGCCATGACACTACTGGAGTAACTTTGATCAAAGAATAAAATCTGTTTTGGTCCAATTCCTAGCTGGCAGCAAAAGCAGACTGCAAAAATGGCACTTAGTAGAGATGAGAAACAAGGTTTTGGAAGCTACAGACTCACAGATTCCTATGCTAGACAGGGGAATCTGGAAGGTGTAGCACCGTTGCCACCACCACCAGAAGAAACACATTCAGAACTCTGACATTTCTTGGCACAACGCTGTAAGTTTAAGTCAGGTCAAGGCAAGTAAGGAGCAATCACGTCTGCTAAAATAAGGTTAGGTCGCGTCTGGTTTAGACAAAGCAGAAGTTATCAGAACCTTGGACAGAGCACTGTGTGAAAGCTGACTAGAAGTCACATAGACCATCTGAGGTCTTATAAAGGCTGGCCAGGTACCACACCAGTCCTGCTATGAGCCGCCCTAACTCAGGAATTTCTTTGCTTTAGTGGATTACTTGTTCTGCGGGTGATGGTTCCTATGTCATGATAGACCTTCCAAAATTGTCATGATAGATCTACGTCATGATAGATCTTCCAACCCCCTGCCAAGAAGCAGGAAAATCTTAGAACGTGGTTATCCTGTTTCTTGGCAGGTGGTTGGACTGGATGGCCCATGAGGTCTCTTCCAACTCTATGATTCTATAATTTGAAGAGTCAGATATACGACCTTCACCGATCTATAAGGTCTCATAGGAGAGGATGGTGAGTCTAAGGGTGCATCTACACTGTTGAATTACTTTACTTAGGCGATCCCT